CACACACACACACACACACACACACACAAAAAAAAACCGGGGGGGGGGGGGAAGAAGATACAACAACTACAATTACTTGAAGTTGATACCACAAGCAAACAGAAAGGACATTGTTGGGTGGGAGGGAGGAGAGGGAGGAGGGAGGGAGGTTTTGGTAAGGGGCAACAATAATCAACCACAATGTATATCGACAAAATAAAATTAAAAAAAAAAAATCTCCATTGCTTGTAATGAGAGAGATAATGTAGTGCGATGTATGTTTCTCCTCTCCAGGGCAACGAGTTGACAAAGTTAAAGCTATGTTTGCAAGTTGAGAGTTAGAGGCCATAGGCATAAATGGAAAATACTCTTTTTCCAGGAATATACTGCAGTGGTAACTTCAGAAGAATTTTAAGTTCACTTAGTCATGGAAACAATATTAGAAAGTTTGCTAGGGAAGGTCACAGACATTTCCTTCCCACCCACATTACATGTATAGCTTTTAATTTTAAAAATTTTTTAATGAAACACAATCTCAGTCAAGTGATTAGAGAAACCAGATGGGGTAAATTTAGTTACAAAAGGTATATAAATATATGCCTTCTCTCATCTTTTCATTTTGATGGAGTCACTTCATGTAAATGTGAAGCTTTTTTCTAAAATACCATAAAATCATGAGAAGTTCAAACTAGTTCTTCAGAGAGCAAAACAAAAAACAAATCCACTGTTTTTCATACTGCTTCCAAAAAATTCATAGAAAATTACTACATATATATGTCAAAAAAAGGAATAAAGCCTCATTAACGAATGTATGAATAACAGCCAAATTAACTTCTCACCTGCATCTAATTTCATAAAATACGTTGGTTTTTCAATAACAATGTCACATTTAGCATCTTCTATTGGTCTGAAGTTGAGCTGCGTATAGCTTTGTAGCTCAGCAAACCTGGAATTATGAATTGGTTTACAATTTCAAAGTGATTCTCCCAAATTTTCTATTGCAACACTGTAGCTTAGGATCTGTTCCTTAGGCAGATTTATTTCTCGTATGTAGAGGAACTCCTATGGAGATGCGCACTTCTCAAACTTACGGACATTTATATAATTTGATATCAATTTTAATGTTGAGACAAGAAACAAAAATGATTTTAAAATTCAGTCTAGGGCTGGCCCGGTGGCGCACTGCTACAGTGCGCCGCTTGGGAGCGCGGCAGCGCTCCCGCCGAGGGTTCGGATCCCACATACAGACCGGTTCCCGCTCACTGGCTGAGCGAGGTGTGGGCGCGACACTGAGGGTTGCGATCCCGTTGCTGGTCCTGGTCCGGTACGGGCGCGACACTGAGGGTTGCGATCCATTGCCGGACACGAAAAAAGACAAAAAGGAAAAAAAAAAAAAAAAATTCAGTCTAATGTGTAAGATAGTTAAATTGGAAACACCACACAAAGAAGAAATTTATACATTGGGTTGGCTAAATAATCTCTTAGTAAAGTGGGAAGATTCAAAAAGGTTTCCTAATGAGGCTCAAAAGGCACAATGGACCAGAGAAACGCTTTTGGTAGACCTTTTGGATTCTAAGAAAGATGGCATTCCAGGAATTATCTAGTGTCTCAGAAAGACAGCAGACCACTAAGCCACCCAGAGGGGAAAGTCTGTTTCTCAGAAAACTTTTTTTTTTTTTTTTTTTTTTTTTTTTTTTTCTGTGTCCGGCAACGGATCGCAACCCTCAGTGTTGCCCCCGTACCAGACCGGGGACCGGCAACGGGATTGCAAGCCTCGGTGTTGCTCCCGCGCCTCGCTCAGCCAGCAAGCGGGAACCGGTCTGTATGTGGGATCCAAACCCTCGAGCGGGAGCGCCGCCGCGCTTCCCAAGTGGCGCACTATCCAGTGCGCCACCGGGCCGGCCCAGAAAACATTTTTGGAAGTCATGTGGCACAACTTTCTTCCAAATAAAAGACAATCACTAGCACATAACAAGAGATATTTAGAGTTAACATGAAGATCATCTGTAACTTTTCGTCTTTGAGATCATATCTCATATAAAATACACACCAAATAGTTCCTTTTAAAACACAATGCCAAAATATCACAGGGGTTTCAAAAATACACCTACAAATTCTTTAATACTTCTCTCTTCAAGGGGTGGAGGTTAATTCCCTCTTCGTGACCTCAGGAGGTGGAAATTAATTCTCTCCCCTTGAGTATGGGCTGGACTTAGCGACTTATTTCTAACAAAGAGAACTCAGCAGAAATGACAGTATGTCACTTGTGAGAGTAGGTGATGTAAACACTACAGCTTCCGTCTTGGGCATGTACTCTTTCTTAGACCACGTGCTCCTGAGGAAGCCGGCTGCCCTCCTGCAAGTAGCACTAGGGAGAGGTCTGTGTGGTAAATAGCCAGGGAGGAATTGACGCCTTCGACAGGCTTTGTGAGCTCAGCAGATTCTCCTGGCCCAGTGGAGCGCGAGGATGGCTACAGCCCTGGCCAGCAGCCTGACCACAACCTCATGAAAGACCCAGCTAAGCTCCTTCCAAATCCTGACCATCAGAAGCAGTATGAGGTAATACATGTTTGTCATTTTAAGCTAGGGTATATTTTTGGAACAATATGTTACATGGCAATAAATAACTAATGAAATTATATTCTAGGGAACTACCATGTGGAATCAGATATCAAAATGTACTAGGAATCAAAAATGCCCACTAGAAAATAGGAACTACCTAGTGTAAAATTTATTAAGTCACACAACAGACTATTGCAGATCATGAAATGCCATGCAAGTATATGGTAGGTTGTTATTCTGAAGTGTTTGCTAAGCCTGAATGTTCGACCTCAAAAGTTAACATCAACACCATATACAAGTGACCAGTGTGACTATAGAGGACTAGCGTAAGAGTTTCCTTGGGGTGATGAAACAGTTCTGTATCCTGATTGTGGTGGTTACACGCATGCACATAGACATGTGATATAAATTTTATTGAATTATACATTTTTAAAAAATGAGTGGATGTAAACACTGGTGAAACCCACGTGTTTAGTTAATAATACTGTTCCAATGTCAATTTCCTGGTTTTGATCACTGCACTATGGTTCTATGAGATATCGTTAGAGGAAGCTGGAGTAATAGTATAATGGGAACTCCCTGTCCTATTTTAAAATTTATATGAGTCTAAAATTATTTTAAAATAAAAAATTTTTTAAGTTCAAAAAGCTGATCAATGGTGTTAAAAGAGATAGCATTTACCTGTGGAAGGAAGGATGAGGGTGGGCCCTGGGAGGGGGCCTGGAGTGCTGATGGTGTTTTATTTTTGACCTGGGTAAGAGTTACATGGGTGGGTTCACTTTTTCATAATCTAAACTCTGCACTTCTCTGTATGCCTGTTATATACTTCAGTATGTTTTTTTAAAAATGCGTTTCCCAAAACATATGCAGCCATTATGAGTTAATAAAAATTCATTTTTCAGCTTCTTTTTCTTTCATTAGTTAATAGTAAGTAGTATATCATACTTCCTAATATTTTATAAACACATATTTAATTCAGATATAACTGAGGGATTCACTCTGTTGCCATCACTCCCCAGAAACTCATGGCAAATTAACTACAAATGAAGTAACATTTTCCACTTCAGGGTCCCCAACAAAATCTGCAAGTGCCAAAAATAAAGGCAAGTATTTTAGAAACAGGAGTTAAAAAAAAAATATCTTACCAAGACTGCAGAGGACTTTTGCGCTGACCTTCTGACATCAACGTACGAATATCAAGTTTACAGTGTCCTCCAATTTCCCCACTCTGGAAAAAATCTTCCTTAAATCTAGTGTATTACGAAAAATTAAGTTGAAAACAAAAAAAGAAAAGAAAAAAAAAATTCAGTTGAGTTCAGAAAATTTTTTCATGATTCAAGCAAGAGGTTGTACCTGAGTGTGTATTAACAATTTCCAAAATCAAATTTTCAATTAGAATTTAACTATTTATAATAGAAAATTTCAAATGTATGCAAAAGCAGCAGAATTGTACAAGGAACCTAATGTATCCGTGGCCTGATGTGATCAACTTGTGACAAATCTGTGTCATCCACCCTGCACCCATTCCCCAACTCCTCCCCCATATTATTATGGAGCAAATACAAGACAAGTCCCTGATCTGAAAAGTATTTCAGAATTTCTATTAGATTTCAACATCAACCCCTCAAGTACCTGTCATGATTTCTCTTGATGTTTCTTAAATCAAGGTAGAGATTGGTTGCTCGGCAATACTGAAGATAACGGGAACATACCAGACTTGAGTCACTCTGAAATAAAGTTCATAAAAGAGAAAAATAACTATGAGTATTAACATCACGAGGACTCACCCAGACTTGCTAGACAAGTTGACAGCATATATGCCCTCAGGTTCAAACCACGCAACACGATGAGGAAAGTGTTCCAAAGACTGCATCTGTTTAAGCAGTTTTCCTCCTTTCCCAGCAGACCTTGGCCTAGCATACTTTTGCCAGTTTCCATACTTTGAAGAATTCCCAAGTGTTCTATTTGTATCACCTTAAATTTTAAAGCCCATATTGGCCAGCAGCCCAAAAAGAAAAGAAAAGAAATAGTTTTGGGCTGGCTGGTTAGCTCACTTGGGAGAATATGGTGCCGAGAACACCAAGGTCAGGGATTTGGATCCTTTTGCTGGCCAGCCACCAAAAAAAGAAATCTTTAAATACAGGAGCTGTATATGTGGTTCAGCTCAGTATCCTTGAAAAACAAACAAAAAAAAGCAGTCAGAACCATCACTACCCCCACAGCTATGTGAAAAAGCATTTTTCAAAGAGGAGCCAAAAGAAACAAGAATTCACATGTGAAAGAGACGTTAAAATGGAAGGCAGGAAGGGCAGTTTTAATAAGAGGTACTTTCTGCAAACTGTAAAACTTGTGGGAGACTCAGTCTCAACAGCAACATAACGGCAATATTTTCTTTTTTTTTTTTATATTATTTTTATTTTGTCAATATACAATGTAGTTGATTATTATGTCCCATCACCAAAACCTCCCTCCCTCCTCCCTCTCCCCCCTCCCACCTAAGTGTGTCCTCTCCGTTTGCTTGTTGTAAATAATTGAATAAAGGAGTTTCAGAGTCAACTACCAGAGCCTGTTTCCATTTCAACCAATCTGATTTGTGCTGAAAGAGGAAGAGCTTCAAAAATGTTTATCTGCTCTAGATTTTATTTATAGATTTCAGTGTTATTTTATTATTTTTCTCAAAACTTCCAATGTTATCTTGATCTGCATGGCATTTTGGAATCTGTAGTTGGTAAAAAAAAAAAAAAAAAAAATTGCTGTGGACTGAATGTTTGTGTTCTTGCAAAATTCATATGTTAAAATCCTATTCCCCAAGGTGATGGTATTAGGACGTGGGGCCTTTGGGAGGTGATGAGCTCATGAAGGTTGAGCCCCCATGAATGAGATTAGTGCCCTTATTAAAGAGACCCCAAAGAATTTTTTCACCCTCTTTCTATCATGTGAGGATACAATGAGAAGTAGCTGTCTGCAACCTGCAGGAGGGCCCTCACCAGAACCCAACCATGCTGGCACTCTGATCTCAGACTTCCAGCCTCCAGAATTCTCAGAAATAGGTTTCTGTTGCTTATAAGCCACCCAGTCTATGGTATTTTGTTATGGCATCCCAAACAACTAAGCCAGGGAATCATATCTGTTAATACAAAACATATCCAGAAAATCTTGGCGAGGAAAGCACTCTACAAACCACCTTGAAAGAGGTGTGCAAGGCAGGGTTGTGGCTCTTCCATGACCCCTTCCACATGAACAGCTAGGAAAACTGCAAGGTAAAACAAACCATCTGTTGAAGGCACCTGCAACAGTGCAGGTTAATGCCATGCCTCCCATCTTTGGGCCTCATTCACTTGAAAGAATGCTAAAAGTTCTACCCTCCAAAAGCACTATAGAGCAGATATTCAGTTTTCTAATGCAAGTGAATTATTATTATTATTTTTTTAGATTCCCAGATTGCCTGAGATGTCAGAGACTCGGGGTTCAGGATCATTGAGTTAGAGAATAGTGTACCTTAATCACTAAGTGCTTGCAGCTCTATCAACCTTTAAAAAATAACACTGAGCCCTTTGTTGGGAGCCAGGCCCCACCCTGAGCAGTTTTATATGCAGAACCTCATTTCATCTTTACCATAGGCTATGAAATTGGCATGGCTTTAAGGTAGAGGAAATTCAAACACAGAAGGGTTGAGTACCCTGTCCAAGAGTCAGGATTTAAGCCCCGTAGTTGAGAGCCTGTTCCTGTAGCTGCTACCTAAAACTGCCTTTTGACAATGTGTTTGTCTTACCCACTGAGGGGCAATGTGGTGTGGTTGAAAGGACACTAAAAAAAGGTCTGCATTTTAATTCTGGATGTATAATTCTACAGGGTAGCTGTGTGGTCTTGGAGAAGTTGCTTAACTTCTCCGAGGGCCCTGTTTTCTGCTCAGGGAAAGTGGCATCAGTAGCATGTGCTCTGCCTGTCTGCTCCGATGATTGTGAGAATCAAACTAGACAACATACAGAAAAGCTTTTTGCAAACTGTAAAGTGCTCAGCAAACATAGAGCAGTATGGTGGGGGTATATCATCTGTTCCAAACTACCTGAGAAGGAATTTGTAAAGATGAAATTTATCAATTTCTCTTTTTTAGCATGGGGGGGGGGCGTTCTGAACCTAAAAATATTTTAACTGCCTCAATATATGACTAACCGATATACACATGAAAAGGAGGACAGGGTGTCCAAAGGAAATAGGACAATCTATTTTGGGAAGTTAAATACAATTTTAAGTGACCGTGAGAGATTCCTTTCACAGTGCCATCTATCTTGTTTATACATTACAATAGAAATAATAAAATAAGTAATAAAAATAAATGAGCTCATTTACTAAGCCGCTATACACACACACCATCTCCTTAGGCTGGCAGAGCACATGTATCTCCTCTAGCCGCTCTTGGGCGTATCCAAAGTCAGCTTGTTTCCAGAATATGTCCTCAGCTGACTCAAGAGTGTCCGTCCTATTTGCAAAAAAAAGGTTCCATAAGTTTTTTTTCTTTTTTTCTGGACCTTGTATTCTCTTTCTACAGGTTAAATTGCTAGAAATATGTCATTACTTTAATTTTTTAAGTAGTTTACTCATAATTGTTCCAAAATTATCCCATGCTACATGAAGTTACTAAATAAGTTATGCACATACATACTCCCTTATAATAAAAACACACAACAGGCAGGGCTGGCTGGTTAGAACACTGTGTTGATAACGCCAAGGTCAAGGGTTCAGATTCCCATACATCCAGCCACCAAAAAATAAAATAAAATAAAACACACAACAGAATGTATGAAGTTAGGATCATCTGAACTGAAAACAATGAACTAAATTACTATATTTTCTTTCCCCATTAACCTTGTAGATTGGAAGTACTAATTAAACAACTCTCTCCCGCAGAATCAAGAGGAAATTCGCTTATCTTCTTTAGCAAACACAGGGGGGAAATATTTTCTATGGTCCATACAGTTTTCTCCCTCTAGCAGAACAAATGACAAATATTCCTATCCCACTGTGAGACAGTCAAGTTGAATTCACGACTGTATAAGCAAATTAATATGTAAAGGAATTACTACCTAAAAACAAGAGAGTCTAGCTAGGAATTAGGGTATTAACATACACTTCAGAGAACAAAGAAGACTTAAAGGGGAGGAAGTTATTCCATGTAGAAACTTACCAGCCCATGTCAACGTAGGTGCAAACAGGGTAACCAAACCTGAACTCTGGTTTGCAAGATTTCTCATAACCCCAGCAGTACTTGAGATTTTCTAAGTGTTTCTAGAACACAAAATATGTACATTTAGACTGGTCTCCCTTCTGACATTTAGAAAGGACTCTAGATTTTTCCATTAACAAATCAAATCTTTACAGAACTTTCACATTTACATTTTACAATATGTATTCATGTAATAAAAATAACTAGAGTAAATTCTAAGAATAGCGGTCTCAAGGTTCTTAACGATTATCCTTAGTCACCACCCCCACCATGTGTGTCTTCTAGCCAAAAGTCTAGGCTCTACCTAGACTACCAAAGACCACTTGAATTAGAATTTCTTGAAGTAGCTTAAGAAACTGCCTGTCTCAGTGAGTAAAGTGATTGTAAAATCAGCCCTTAAGAAGATATATAAATTAGAATTTCTGTTATCAAAAGAATCACAATTAAATTGAATGGACTGGCAACTTTACTCATCAATCAAGATCACCAGAGACCCCACAAGATGTGGACAATTCTGCAGTGCTTAGGGGTCACAGCTGCCGCTGCTGGCCAGGGAGCTTAGAATGCCGTCCTGCAAGGCCCTGGAGCAATGCTGTTCTGACTCCCAGGTCTGTTTTTCCCTATCCCTCCGGTGCCTGCACCATGGGAAAGGAAGTGTCTTACAATACCCAGCTTTGATCTCTAAGGCCTTGTGAGATGTCTTAATGGGCTCCTATTTGAGGCCTTTCCAACTCCTCAAAAACAGAAGGAAGACCACAGTAATAGTCTTAATTATGTGGAGACAGAGGCTAAGGTGTTATTACTGAAATTAAGTGCTAAGAGATACTACTAAGTGCAGTTTAAGAAAGAAGAGGTGCAAAATTCTGTAGTTACTTTTAACAAGATGTTCTTCTCTGCATAAAATCTAATTTGACTCATTTACAGAGTATATAAATAGTATTGGCTGCCTATTTATTTAGTAGTGGTTTAGATTTCAAATTTCACTCTTGTGAATGGGACATAATTTTAAGCAAAGTTTAGTCACCTAGAAGTATTAGATAAAATTAAAATGATGTTTGACTCACAGTGACAACCCAAAGTTAGAATGCTATCTTCAGTTTCAGGTTATAAGGCAGAACTAATAAGCCAGCTGGAACTGTATCCTTTTAAAAATAATAGGAAGAGAAGAAATAAAACGTACCTTATATGGACAATGTGAGTCTTTCTTACAGACGGTGGCAATATGCCTATTGTTGTACAAAAAGAAGGGAATGTGCTCCTCTGGCAAGCGGAGGCTGGCATAGTTGTACAGAGGTTCACCTGGAATGCCGTCATTCTCGGAAAGAGCCTCATCTTGGCCACTCAATGGGGCGTCATGAAGTAATACTCCAAAGACAAGCAGCATTAACATAGCAATCTCTAAACCTAGAGGGCAATATGAAAACATCTTCGTCAAGAAATTTCCTTAAAAAGTCAAAGAAAAGGGTCGAGGGCTAAGCATAATTATAATGCACTTTGCTACATCACTGAGTCATGTTCTTTTATTCAACAAATATTTATTGAGCACCTGCTATGTGCAGGCACTGTGTTTGGAGCTAGGTATACAGGGGTGAACAAAACAAGAAAGATCCTTGCCAAAAAAAAAAAAAAAGAAAGAAAGAAAGATCCCTGCCTTACGGAGCTTTTAACTAAGTGGGAGAGACGTAAATAAACAAACAAATAAACAAATTAAGATGATGACAAGGGCTGTCAATAAAATAAACCAGCGGTCAGCATACTTTTTCTGCTAAGGCGAGATAATAAATATATTGGCTTTGCTGCCATACTATCTCTGTGGCAATTACTCAACAGTGACTTTATAAGGAAAGAAGCCATAGTCTATCGTAAAAGAACGGGTGTGGTTGTGTTCCAATAAAACTTTATTTACAAAAATGGGGAGGGGGGCTTGATATGACCCAGTTTACTGATGCCTGAAATACAGTAAGGTAATATGATAGACAGCACAGCATGGTGGTTAAGAACATGGACTTTGAAACTCAACCACCTGGACCTGAATCCTGTCTGCAGCTTCCTAGCGGTATGACCTTGAGCAAGTTATTTAACCTTCCTGTGCCTCAGCTTTCCCATCTGTAAAACGAAAATAATAATAAACCTTCCTCATAGGGCTGTTGTGAGTTAAATGAGTTAATTATTAGTGAAGTGTTGCTTCACTGTGCTGTGTCTGTATTTACTATATAAATGTTTAAAGCCATGTAGGGCAGAGAGGGGGGCTAAATAACATTTCAGCTGGGTCCTAAATGATGAAGAGAGAGGAAGATGTGCCAGCAAGAGAGAAAAATAGAATGACTCTGGGCAAGCATGTGTCAGCTGGATAAAAAATAATAATCACGGGCCGGCCCGGTGGCGCACTGCTATGGTGCGCCGCTTGGGAAGCGCGGTGGCGCTCCCGCCAAGGGTTCGGATCCCACATACAGACCAGCCGCTCACTGGCTGAGCGAGGGGCGGGAGCAACACCGAGGGTTGCGATCCGTTGCCGGTCACGAAAAAAGACAAAAAGGAAAAAAAAAAAAAATAATAATAATCACAATCAATACGTGGGCACATACTACGTTCCAGGTGCTCTTCTAAGTATCAAGGATGCAGCAATGAAGGTGTAGTTGTGAATTAAACCCATTGCCCTTGTGAAGCTTACATTCTAGTAGGTTAATCTATGATAACAACTGAGACTTAGAAACTCCAGGAGTGAAAGCAAACAGCCTACCTCGAAGACTGTACCCTTAAATTCTCCCCTGTCCTGCCTTAACATTTTGAAAAGTGATAGTGCTTGTGAACCTTACTGAATTTCTAACTCATTCAATAAGGATTAAATCTCTTGGGCCAGATTTCTCCTGTATATCCCAAACAATAATCATGCCACTCTTGGTTCACTTTAGTAGCATCTTTGCTTTATCTTTTTTTTTTAAATGCTTTTTCCACCAGATGGCAAAGCCATAATATACATTGGAGGCTCCTCAGTAAGGTATGCTGTTCAGGACAGCATACTGGAAAACCCAGATTTCAAAATCAGTCTTCATTGACTATGGGCTACCAAGATGGGGCCTTTATAAACAGACTGCTATGTTCAATCAAACCTCAAGTTCCAAGGCCATGGGATCATGTTCAATTATGAACTAAACAGTGGGGACACCAAGAAGAAATCTTTAACCCCTCTAGAGTGGTAAATATACTGGATTTTCATTTAGGTGGCTCTAAAGAGTATGTTATCTGTTATAAAACTGAACTGACAATGTTTTTAGTTGGGACTTCTATTCAACAGTGAGTTGATAGCAATTTTATAAAATTTAAAAATGCATATTAATAGTAACAATGACTCCACTTATAATGAAAATATTTACCTCTTTAATCCTCAGAACCACCCAGAAGCTGTTGAAGTTTCAGGTATCTAAAACCTGTCAGAAATGAAACATATTAGCTTAAAATTATGCTAAAGTAGACTCTATCATTCAGGTGATATTTTGAATTAAAGGAAATATTAAGAAAGAAAATAATTTAATGAAATAACACCTAAACCAGAAGGCCTGGCTCCTGGTGTGCTGCTTTTTCCTTAAAACCATACTGCTAGAAGCAAAGTTACGGATACAATTCTCAACACAGCTACTTAACAGACCAAATCCTAATGGTAAGCAGGAAGGCAGGGCCCATTTTATACAGGCATCAACTGGTACAGGCCAACAGGATACTTAGCAGATGAAACATTTCTAGGAGCAAACAGTCTTCCCGGTTCTCACTGCAGTAATCCTGCTCACTGAATCACAGGGCTACTGGAGCTAGGGAAGCTAGACGCTAGCCTTAAGAGCCACAGGTGGGCCTCCCTATCCTATCCTCCGACTCAGCCCTCCCTGTTATAGTCATTGTTATGACCAAGTCCTGACCTTTGGTTATCCAAGTCCATTGTGCTGCACCAATCTCTGGCCATAAAAACTAAACTCACCGATCCATGGAGAAGAAGTAACGCTTAGGCAATGGGAATTGCACCGGGCACGTACCCACTTGCATAAGCTAGATGGGAGTGGCTGCTGGTGCATGAAAGTACAACCCCAGGGCCTGACAGAAAGCCTTTCTGGTGCTGAGCCCTCTTGCAAGGCCCCGCAAAGATGGGTGGACGCACTTCTCCAGCAGATGGACGCTTCAGTGGCTCTGCTACCTTATCCTTTAGCACAAAGCAGCTGGGCTCACTCCACTCCTGTTTCCCTTAATTGGGCTTCCGCAGGCCTAAAAGGGGGAGGTAATAAAGGGAAAACATCTGAAAGATGACAAGAAGCAAAACCCGGGGTTGACAGGGACCACAGTGGGTGAGATGGGGCAATGCTCTGCGACAGAACTTGGAAAAGTTGAAAGAAGGCAGTGGACACATGCAAAGTTAAAGGCATGAGATTCAGAAATGATTCCTAAACGGCTGGTCCCCACTTGTGCCATAAAGTCTCACGGTGGGGAGCAGGCAGGACTCGGAAAAGGCTTGGCTGCCCGAGATGCCTGGGCGGAGGTCCCCCAGCTGTCTGCTATAACGTCAGTCTCCTCACCAGTGCGGCGAGCTTCTGGTCTCAGCTAACATGCCGCGCTGGGGTTCGCGACCCCAGGCGCTGCCCGGGGCTGTTTCGGGGACGAAGAGATCCCCGGGGGACCACCAGCCACCGTGCACCTCGGCGCCCCGGGTCCCCGCAGCGCCTGGGAGGGAGCTGGGGGAGCGGCTCCGTCCCGGGCCTGGGAACCCGGGTCGACAGGGCGCGGGCCGGGAGCCCGGCGGGCTCGCGGGAACCCTGCGCTCCGCAGCAGGCACTGGGAAGGGGCCGCGCGCCCGGGGCCCGGGAGGGCCAGGGCCGGCTT